GCGAATGAGGGCATTGCCTTCGAAGAGACGCTTGGGGTCCTTCTCGTCAAGGGTAAGAAGCTCACTGTGGTCGTTTTGTTAGCATTTTTCAAGATATTTTAAAACTAGCAAGGTTGGAGAAAAGCTTACCGGGCAGCACGACGAATCTTGGAGAGGGTGAGCAGGACGCGCCACACCTCACGCTTGTTGCGGAGACCGTACTCGCCAACGAGCTTCAACTCGGAGTCCCTGAGATTCGGAAGGTTAGTCCAGGATCACAATCGACATAAGCTGAGTCAAGCTCTAGCTTAGTGGCCGGTGATTGATTTGCAGGCATGATCGGAGCTGGCGACGGCGAGGGTTCGCAAATCTCGAGCTGCCAAACAGAGGCCGCAATCGATGAGGGAAGAGCGAGTCGATCAAACATACAAACGAGCGGCCTCGAAGGGACGGCGAGGGACCTTAGCGGTCTTGGAGTACGAGTGAGGGGCCATCTTTGTCGTTGAGGCTGGTGAGAGTCGATCGGTCGAGTAAAATTTCCAAACTCTGGACCTTCCTTTGGTGTTCACAGAAAATAGAATGGCATCCGGAGGGGTGGGTTTGTGGTGGTTCGTGCTTGCGGGTCCGCCAGCTTGCCCTAACAATGGCTGGTTGGTTGAGAGCAGCCCGCAGCCAGCTTAGTCACCCGCGTGCAAATCCCGACCCTCAGATTTGCGTTCACACAAAATTCCCAAATTCGCCAGCCAGCGACAACACCATCTCGACAGATCTCGACCCACGACGACAACCCCATAATCAATCACAATGGGTCACCCCGCTGGTCTCCGTGCTGGTACGAGATACGCCTTCGCCCGGTCCTTCCGGGAGAAGGGTATGATCAGACTGTCGACGTACCTTAAGCAGTACAAGTATGTTCGAGGACTGATGCAGCGACTCTTGGGACTCGGGTGCTAACCGATTGCAGGGTTGGCGATATCGTCGACATCAAGGTCAACGGTGCCGTCCAGAAGGGGTAAGCGAACATCCCGGTTTTCCTAAACACGAATTCGATTGCGCTGGCTGGACGAAGCGGGGAATCTTTATCACCAAAGTCGAAATTCCGGAGGGGAATGGCGGCGCGATGGACATACCAGACAAGACTTGCGTGCAGAATTGGGGACTGACTTTGTCGCAAACAGTATGGCCCACAAGGTCTATCACGGCAAGACTGGCGTCATCTACAACGTCACCAAGTCCGCCGTCGGCATCATCATCTACAAGAAGGTCAAGCACCGCTACATCGAGAAGCGCCTCAACGTCCGTATCGAGCACGTTCAGCCCTCGCGCTCCCGTGAGGGTTTCCTTCGCCGCGTTAAGGAGAACGCCGAGCTCAAGAAGAAGGCCAAGGCCGAGGGCAAGCCCGTTCAGCTTAAGAGACAACCCGCCCTCCCCCGCGAGGCGCGGACCATCTCCATCAAGGACAACAAGCCCGAGACTGTCGCCCCTGTCGCCTACGAGACCACGATCTAAGGTGTTGCAGGAAGGCGGATGAGGTGGTGTTCTTTATGGGTTGCTTATTTCTCACTGCATGGGGTTCATTGCGTTCGGCACGGAAAGATGCCCTGCATGGATTTGGTCTGGGATGCGGGAGTGCTGATAGGAAACAAAATACCAATGGCATGACCAACAAAGAGCGACTCGAAACGCATTGTTCATCCGGCGTGGCTTGCTTGTGAAGACCAGATCTGGACCGGCGAGTCCAACCTCCGCGATGCTGGTCACTCGCTGGCATATGAAAGCAGACGCCCAAGGCTCGCTCTAGCCCAAGGGACTACGGCACAAACATGGCAAGAAAAATAGAGCAAATCCAACAGAACATCCACCCATCTACGTGACAATTTCCCTTCCCCAGTCATGGTAGCTTTTTGTCTTGTGATACGCCTCAGTACCGTCTTCGAGTGCTTGCATGCTTCGCTCCTCTCTCAAAGGCGTTTGATGGGTAAGGCACATGTTTTCCCTCTTGTCGTATCCTGGACGTTTGACATATCTCAACCAATCAACTTGGGGAGCCTGGCATTGTCGTGTAAAGTATTCCCACCCAGTCAGGGGCACCTGTACCGGACATCTCCATATATCTATCAGCTGGTCTCCCAGTACGCGTGTGGAGTCGCGTGTGCTCTTTGGATCCGGAAACTCATGGCTTCTTAGAGTCTCTTCCTCTACCCAGACAGCAGTTGGGGAGTGCGAATTGAACCATAGAATCATTTGGCATGGAATTGATGAAGGAGACACCTGGAAACCTTTGCTCATTGCCATCCCGTGCAAGGTTCGGGTTGAAGCCTGAATGTTCAACCATGCGACAAGGCGGTTCATGATCGCCACGCTCGGCCAGAACATACTCTGAAGAAGACATTGTTTTACATGGCGTCCTGTTAAAAAGAATCGTTCTTTGATAGGACTCACAATCAAAAATTGGAGGACACTCGGGAGACCTCAGCTACCTTAATGTTGCCGAGCTTCAAGGCTGTCGAGTGGAACCTGGAGGTGGCCTTCCACCCGCCAGTAGGAGGCGGCTTGAGTCGATGAATTCCCCGCAGTCCACTCATGGGGCCGTTACCCCACTATCGCCAGAGCTATCCAGGATCCCGAAAGTGCACGCATTTGCCGCCCCTCTGCCGCAGGGCCTCTTGATCTGATTCGGCTGTACTTCTTACACACTTGGATCAATTGGATACTCGGATTGACGGGCACAGCATTTGAGATTACACCGGCTGGCACCACCGGGTCATCATTTTTCATCAGCTTCAGCTTTATAGTCACCTATTCAAGAGGACGGGCAAGGACAACAGCATTCAACACGTTGATTCCGAGGCTCAGAGCTGAAGGTCAGTGAGTGTCGGACCACTTTTTGAGCCTTTTCCACTCGATCATTAGACATGAGCATTTGGAACCTCAAAACTGCTGGTTATCTAAACCTCTGGCACTTCCCTCAGTAAGATATCAAAACTAACTGAACCACAGACCTCACTCACGGACACCTACGCCCATCTTCATCCTTGAGCCACAGAGGCAATAGTCAATATGCTGCCTCACACCCCCTCCGAATCTCCTCCTTCCAACCTCGCCGCTCTGGCAGAGGACCACTACTTCAGCGCCAACCCCCCACCCAAGGACCTTCAGAAGCACGTTGCTCTGGCAGAGGACTTTATTGACTTTCATTCAAAGGCGGGGAGAAGGTTGGTGCTGGTTACTTCGGGGGGTACTACTGTGCCGCTGGGTATGTTGATCATCAACAGAGATGGTTATATTTCCGCGTAAGGGGGGTTGCTAATGAGATTGTTGGAAAACAGAGAAACAAACGGTGCGGTTTATTGATAACTTTTCGGCTGGTACGAGAGGAGCTGTAAGTGATGTTTTGATCCTGATGCTCTCTGCCCCTTATTGCCAAGGTGACGACATGCATTCGATGCTAGTGTCCAGGGGTGAAGTCTTTCTAGGCTTCAGTTGGAGTCATCCGAACAGCAGTCGAGGATTTGGACTCTAGAAGGAAGGGAAACTGACAATAATTCAGACTAGCGCCGAGTACTTCCTAGAAGCAGGTTACGCTGTGCTTTTCCTGTTGGTTTTTCCTACTTTTCATTTCCCTACTGGAGACCTGGCAGGCTAACACAACGATAGTCACCGGCAATTCTCCCTTCTTCCCTACTCCCGCCACTACAGCCATGCCACCGACTGTTTTCTTGACTTCCTCCGCGAGGGACCTAACGGCAGCGTGGTAGCTCGTGACGAAGACGCTAGCAAGATGCTCAACGTCTTGCGGAAATACCGCGAGGCGCGTGACAAGAACATGCTTCTTGTTCTTCCCTTTGTCAGCATCTCCGACTATCTCCACGAGCTCCGCAGCATTGCACAGTTGATGAAGCCTTTGGGGCCTAAGGGACTGCTCTATCTCGCCGCGGCAGTCAGCGATTTCTTTGTGCCCGTAAGTTGTCCTTCTTTCTGTCACATTTGTCAGTACTGACTGGATGGAAAGCCCGATCGCATGTCTGAACATAAAATCCAATCCACCGACGCAGCCGATGCCTTCAACAAAAAGTCAAAACCGGTCTCGGAAGAGGAAGAAACCTTTGACAACTTTGACTCGTCCCCCTCGGTCCCGCGGAGCAAGCGCCTCGTCGTCGACCTTGATCCCGTCCCCAAGTTCCTCAAGAACCTAGTAGAGGGTTGGTCGCCAGAGGGAATGATCGTCTCCTTTAAGCTGGAGACTGACCCCAAGATCTTGGTCCACAAGGCGAGGTACTCGCTCGATCGGTACCAGCATCACTTGGTGATTGGTAACTTACTGTCGACGAGAAAGTGGGAGGTGGTGTTTGTCGGCCCCGGGAATCCGGACAAGTGGATCAGGGTACCGCAGAGTGGGAGGATTCAAGATATTAAAGAAGCGGAGAAGGATGAGCCGTTGGATCCAAAGAGCTTGCCGGAACAGGAGCCGGAGGTGGAGATTGAGAGCTTGATTATCCCGGCGGTGGCGGAGTTGCATACTAAGTATATCAAGAATTCCGAGGAGAAGAAGCTGGGGGCTTGAAGGATAGATGATGCTATGAAGGGGCCGAGGTTTTGGTTTTGCGCACATAGACGTAGCAGAGCATAAGGAGCAGGCACTGGGTATGAGGTATGGCATTGGCAAGCATGGCGGCTTTTATGGTCTTGTGTACTTTGGTATCAGACGTGTAAAGTTCGTGTACAGGAGGGCATGCAAGTTACCGTCACGATAGCATCAACTATGTCCTTCAGTTTTTCGACCTTCTTCAGGTTGGCTGGACCACAGCATGTCAAGTATGACGGATGACTCAAAACAGAGCGCTCATCTACAAAAAAGCAGACTTTTCTTTTGCCTTGAAAAGCTTCTGCGTATATCAAACAAAGTACAGCTGATGATGGGGCCCTCAAGTCCTAAGGCTGGTGGTGGACCCTCAACTTCGCTTCTTTACACAATCTCTCATAGACACGAGTTCCACCTCGAACTCCAACAACAGAAAACAGGGCGTGTGGCTCAGTTGGTAGAGCGTTCGCTTAGCATACTCAAAAATCCTTGCCATCTTCACGATGTCAGGGATACCCATTGTATGCGAAAGGTCCTGGGTTCGATTCCCAGCTCGTCCATGATAACTTCTCTTTTGCTCTCCATGGGCCATGAGGAAGCATCTTTTTTGCGATGTCTTTTCTGTCTGGCTCGGGTCGGGTGGGAAGTTATGGTTGAAGGTACGCTGGTTGTCAACCGAGGTGCTCGGCCGCGAGATGAAGCTATCACCAGTCAGGCTTTGGCTCGTTAAATGGAGAGGTTGCTACGCAGTTTAGATATATGGTAGTGTTTACTCAGTTGACCATTTTAGTTAATGCCGTCTGTTGAAAAGTAGCTACGCAGTCTAGGGATAAACAATCTCTCAAGCCGCACCACTGGGCTTCTCCCTTGGGATCTTCTAAAAGTCATCACATCAACACCGGTTCAATATCAGCTGCTGTTCAGGTAGGGTTGTCTCCAAGAGTCCCATCGCAAACACTTGGTAGAAAAGTCAAACGCCTTGGTGAAGAACGTCAGAGTCTTTGACCTTGTAGTTATGGTTTCTCGAAGAGATACCTCCTCACGATGTTCGACCTCCCATCAGACAAGTACAGTCATTTAACCAGAGGCAGCGAGAGGTCAGGAGAGGCACACAAATCTGCAGATACCCGGCCACAAAACTTGGGACTCCGGGCTGCCATGTCTCATATGCCAAGAACCCCTTTCTCAGACATGAACCCGCAGGCCCCTATTCAAGTGTCTCTCCTCGCTATCTCCTTGAGGGCAGCGCTTTTCGTACGACAACCCTACCGCAAAAAAAACACGCCATCATGTCTCTCGATTCGGCGGCAGGCTTTCCTAGGTAGATAGCTAGTCCGGGACTTCCGTCCCCTATCAAAAACATTATCCAAACTTTACGGAGTATCTTTGCTAAATAGGTACAGATTGACAGACTTATGAACTATCATCACACCCCCCTACCCACCCCAACCTCCCCCTCAACATCAAGCAATCAGTCTTATGTTTTTTCTTCTACAATATTCTGCAACGTCGTTGGCTGGCAATATTGGACTGAGACATGCCTTAAAGAGGTAAGGCTTCCTTCAGCCCCACGAAAACTAAACCCTACGATAGCCAGCCACGTCAATTACGGCCCGAGCCATATATAGCAGGTGAGCGGCAAGAAGAAAATAGCTCTTCAATCCTTCCTCCCCCCGACCGTTACCCTCGTTTTCGGTATCGTGAGATTAGCCTCGTTGTAATTTCATGGGATAGACGCCTAATGGTCACGGCGCTGAGTTTCTCCCTCCATCCTCTCACCATCATGAAAGAAAACTCCCACGTTGCAGTGGCGCCACATGTGAAAAGACATTGTTCAATATCAAGGTCACAAAATAGGGGATGGGACGCGGCTGGAGCGGGTGGCTTTCCATCCGGCCAACCCCAGATGCTCATGGTTGGCTATCAATTGTCCATCATACGCCCATCTATGCTATCAGCTTCCTGGATGGGAACCAAAGTGTTGAGCAGGAGGTAAAGAGACGTCAATATTGACCATGCTGGCAGCGCACATCATGGCCGAGAAGCAGACCTGGCATGTTGAAGGATTGCTTAGTTTTAGCCGCCTGCTCCAGTACCAGTTGTAATGATGCCTTCATCAACTCCAACCAAGGCATCGTCTCGCAGGTTCCAACACATCATCGTCATCTGGTTGGTCTGACAGTCTATCCCAGCAGGGTAAATAAACAATATCAAGTCTTGCTTGACACTTTGACGAAGCAAGGTTCACTGGGCCGTCCCGAACAACGGGCACTTGTGGATGGGTCGTTTGGTGTCTAGCCGATTCGCCGGTGCCCGTCCAATGCCGTCTTTGCCTCATGCATCTGGTGCAATTAGCCGACTGCACTGGGTCGTATGTAAGTTGAAATGTCGACGATAGGGGCATGTTGGCGTCAACATGAACCTGCACTGGGCCGTGGTGCTTACGGCTTTTGCTGGTGTACAAAACAGGGGCGGGCTTCCGAATAATTGGTAAGACGCTCGGAAATGCATCGCGGAAAGTTTGTGTCAGACAGATTGCCAAGGGGCGTCCTTTTTGTGTGTACTCCGATGTCATTGTGTCACAAACTTGCTACCAACAGCTTCTCGATTGGCCACTTTGATTTAGAACCCCAACTGTGCAGCATGGTCGAGTCCGGTTTACGGTTGGGCATCCAACTTGCCTCCCCGCCTGTCTTTCGGAATCGACAAAGTTCCCGGGAAGGACAGACCGAAGTGATGATCAGAAGTGCCGGTAAAAATGGTTTCCCACTGCCTCACTGCAGCTGGTGCCCTGCGTGCCTTGGTTATCAAACTGGACAGGAGATGGCGGGTGACCCAACTGCAGGAGAGAGATGCGACTGTACGCTGGATGGTCGATAGTAGCTATTATCGACTTTACTGGCCGGCTGTGAGGGGAAGTTGGACCCAAATCTCCAAATTCTTGGAAAATCTTGCAGGTTTTCCTGGAAGAACCCCCTGTATCTGCAGGGCCCAAATGTAGCTTTAACCCACTGTGGACGGGCTGACGGGGGGATAGGAAGGCAACATCGAGATGTTTGATGACCAGTTGTCAAGAGCTTTTCCAATGATTTCCGCCGTGGCGTCTATCGACCGAGAAAATCGTCTCTGTGCATGTCAATCCTCATCTTTCAAAGGTAATCGACCGCCAAGATGAGGCTCTCTGCGTTATGGCTGGGCGCACTGGCCTCATCCAGCGCTCGGCATTGATGGGCATCCATTGAAGGTTGCTTCCGGAGATTTTACGCCGCAACGGTCAAACCCCCAGGCTGTTGAGACGCGGGAGAAGACGTGGGAAGATGGCGTTTCGCAGATGGGATTTGACCATCACCCAGGTTGTTGAGAGATAGCAGGATAGTGATAAAGCATCTCTATTGGTACGGAGCGTTTGTTACGGAATTAGCACCTGCCACAGTGCTGCCATCTTGATGGTAAAGTCTGGTCAGGGTAGGATCCGTACCTGGCCAACCTGGCGACCCTCAAGCGGGAATCTCGATGCTTATGGGTCTTTAGGGTGTGGTGTTTGTTTGATAACAGCTCACCGGATGGCAGAGCTCCATAATGCGAGAAAGGCTGCATTGCAGTACCAAACTCCGAGTCGCTCGCATGCTCGGTCAGAGACCTGTTTCGGACTTTGAGGAATTCCTCTAGCATCAAGACTCTGGTTGAAGAAGTCTCAGGGCGCGGTTCACTTCCAGAGAGGAGGCCGGAATGATCATTGGCTGGCCCTCTTCGAATTCGACGATGAACACCGCTTGATCGAGGCTGGGAAAATTGGAAAGAGCCCCACCCAGGTGCGTCATCATCTGAAATCACACAGACAGGGGCCCCACCAAGTGCGTGGCGCCAAGCCACAGACCTGTCCAAGTGCGACTGCCCAGCGTCAGCTCAACAGGGGCAGCACAGGAGGCGCAAATACCGAATGTTTCAATACGTGGATAAAAAGACTGGTACTGCAAAACAGGGACAAGGCCTTATAATCCTTACCTTAGGAAGATGGTAAGAGACTTCGAAAGACACTTATTGGGCCTTCAGAAGATAATCATTAGGCCTTCTCTACTGTATCAGAGGTATAATTCTGACATGCAATACCATCTAACTTGACCACGATGTAGTGGTCTTTTCATGCATGAAGATAGTGAGTTAATAGCTCTTGAAAAAGGTGTATAATATCATTAGGCACCTAGCCATTAAATGCCCTTATCCAGATAGAAGACAAGTGCGGATACAATACCTATCCCAAACATGCATGCAGCAGATGCAGAGCTCCAAGCCAGCGCCATTGCAACGCTTCGTGTCATTAAATCGTTCGACAGTTGCCATGGTCCACAAGCGGTGTGCCATCCTCAAAAGGCAACAAACAGTTGCCTTTTGCACAGGGTGGGTTTGAGCCTCTGAGAGGATCAATTGCTTGTATCCGTATCTGCGTAGGACGAGCGTCCGAATCTTACAAAGAAAAATATACACGCTAGAAGCCTATTGTCAGCTTAGTCACAAGGAAGCAGAAATGCACTACAATTCCAGTCATCAAACAACTCCATTTCAAGGGCGTCATTGCCTGTGACGAATAGTGTACACTCTCGGGACGTTGGACTACTGAACGAGAAAAGAGATTGTGTTGATATAGAGGCCAGGATAATTTCTTGGAAGCTCGGCCAGATGTGAGGTTGCTTTCAGTCGTTCCGCGGTGGAAATAGATTGATTGAACCGGATGGTAAGCGGACACGAAGTGAACCATCAGGAAGAGTCAACTGGAGCTTCTTCATTGGCCTGAAACAGTGACAGTAAGAAGTGTTGTAAGAAGCCAAATCCGGGCTTTGGGATACATCCACCCACTCTCGCCTTGGCAGGTGGCCTCCCCCGCCACACCACTGTCACCTCACTCAACGTCCAGCTGGCTGTTTCCGGGACGCATACTGCTCAAACCGTCCTCTCGTCGTCTCATCCAATCTATGTATTCTCGACCGTCCCAGAGCGTCAGGGCGGTCGAGGAAAATCTCAATGCCCCTGACCCTCCCACGTCACTGGAATCATGTTGACAACACGGGCCTAGCTTCCGCTCAAAGCCACACGCCAAAGATAACCGCGTCACCGATCAGGCACAGACCCATTGGGCCCCTGTTCCCTGCCGCTGCTGCTCACATCCCTTCCGATCCACCTGGAAATTGCCCAGGGCCGACGGCGAAAAAGTCTTGTCGGTCGCATCGGCTTGCGGAACAAGCGATCACTTACCCACAGGTGGGGGGGGTGCATGCCCCTGGCGAGCTTTTTTATTTTCAGAGGGGTTTGGCGATTCTTCGAGAACAATTTCGATTGTCAGCAGCTGGTGTAGAAAACACAACTGGCGGTCCAGGTGCTCTCCGACATCCGACGCCTCTCGGTCGTTGGCGTTTCAGGGCACAAGATGTCAGACAGGTATTGGAGAATAAGATTTTTAGGAATTCAATGCCACGAGCCTGCGGAGTAAAGGAAAGAAGACGACTCTATTATCTTTGCTGCTCCCACAGGCATCTGAATGCACATTTCCACAGCGGTACCACTT